ATGTACGTCGTCCTCAAAAGTACGAAAAATAATACAATTTGATTAATTTTACCAACAGGATAATACACAGACAGCTGCTACTGACTATGTAGGACCTGCAGGTAATAAAGTAAAGATCGTAAATAGTTTTCATGCTACGGCGATATTATAATATAGATAAGAGTAATATATATTATGATACCTATATCTACCTATGAATGTAAAATATAGGTAAGTATACAATACTACGATGGATTTATTCGTGTGTAGGCTGTGCATTCAGTTAAATCATTAAATTCATTTTCAACAAAAATACCATAGGTACCTACTCACAAAATGAACCTAATATTTTTTTAAATATTTAACACATTTTAAATAATAATGTATAAAATGTTTACTGCTGGCAATAATATGACGTAAAACCATTTTTAGTGAGGGATTAACATAATATTAATTATATTGTAGTTTGTAATAATTGTAACTTGTAAGTAGTAAGTTGTAACTGTAATTGTTGAAAATGAGATATTTTATAATAATTCTATTTATAAATAGCTCATAGGTTACATATTATGGTATCATTTCACATTTATATCGTTTACTTTTATAAATTTTACTAGTTTATCAAAATCTTAGTATGTTATACTAATATGAATATGACTTTTCAGCTCTAATTTATTTTACTATCGACTTGATAATATTATAAACGAATGCCACCAATCTGTTATTATAATTAGTTTTTAACAAGTAACATTTTATTTAAAGTTCTATGACTTGTAATGTTTGACCAATCAATTTGTATTTGATTATAGTTTTTACATAATTAAATAATAATATATATATATATTATACACTATGTAACCGAGCGAATAATAATTGTTTTTTTTTGAGGGGGGGATAATTTAATACATTATCTTTATTCTACCATACCATACCTATTACAGTTATTTGGTTATAAATACTTATAACGTATAACATTAAATAATAATAATCATGAACTATAACATCAGCAGATAAAGCCCAATGAGTAATGAATAATGATCAAATTAATTTTTTAGATAAAAATGTATTTTATTGATATTGTTATGTTATCTTAACCATTTCACGTTAGCATATCCTGCTGCAGGACCACACTAAATAATTAAGCTGAAAACTTGAACTAATTTATAGGCATTAAGTTCATGAACTCATTCATTTTCATTAAATTAACTTTATTTATTCTAGTTAATTTATTTTAAAAATAATTAAATAGCTTTTATCCTCCTCAATCATTATAATTTTAAAATCATATGCATTAGGTACATTCTATAGTTTCCTACTGCCTATATACTTCTAATTAAAAATGATATCTAAAGTCTATACCTACTCAATTTAATGTTAGAAAATAAAAAAAAAACCCGTAATGATAAAATCGGGATTCAAACCGATAATTATTTTAATCAATATAATGTGAAAATAATATTCTACGGATTAGGGTCTGAATAATATGAATAAACAAAAACCGATGTAAAAATGAATCATTAAATGTTTAAAATTTGTCTTTTTTGGTACCTAGGTAATAAAAAAAAACCTTAATTCATTATTTTAACAAGTATATATTTTTATCTGATACCTAATTATGAAATAAAAAATAAATGAAAAAAATATTTTTATAATAATTATTTAACGAAAAACACTTTTATTTATATTTTGAACTTCGAACGAGTTAATTTTTACCCACTCATTCCGAGATCTGCTTATACAAATAATATACCTACTATAATCTTTATAAAAATAGTGACCATATTATGTGAATATTGTGAGCTTGAACAATATATCAACTATCAGATATAATTTAGGATGATAATTTATTTGTAGTATTAATATTGACCTGCAACCTATACTATACAGACATACTGTTTATAATATTTGAGTCCCATAAAGTACATAACTATTTTATTATAAAATTATAACTAAATACCTCTTTACCTCAAAAATTTCGGCACGAGAAGTTCTATTTCAATGGCAATCAAATTATGTATAGACTACCTACTTAGAATTAATATATATAACTTTAATAATATAAATAATTTGAAATCTCTAAACTTATGATCAATCACAAATGTAATATGTAATTTATATTTATAGTATTATAAATATTTAGTAGGTATGTTATTAACTGAATTCAAATAAACTTCCCAACACAGAAAATCTTTGTATTATTTATTTTATTTTATATATTATATAGTTATATCTGTATTTGGTTTATTTTTATTTGAGAAATAAAATAATAAATATGAAAAAAAAAACTAATAATTATAATCTAAAAATGAAATACAGTTCAATAAATTAATAAAAATTATGATTATAGACATATAGGCATACATGACGTAAGCATACTGTCGAGTATAAAATGTTGAAATTAACATATTATTTTAAAATACTGTAGTGAAATATGCGAAAATTATATTTAATAATTATTACTAAATAGATATACTTTGTAAATGTCATGATTATAATTTGTAATAATAAAATATTTTCACTTTAACGAATTTCATACTAAAGATAAACAAAGTTTTGGGAGTATAAAATACGAACATATAATTTAAGTAATCGCTTTAAAGTTTAAACAAATATTTAAGAAATTCAATATTTTCCAATATTATATAACAAAGTAATTTGATGCGAGAGAGAGAATTTTTTTGAAACAATTATAATGTTTTTAATTTTTATATTATAGTTTATATACCTACTCAAAGAAAAAAAAATGTGAAAATGTGAATAATGAAAATGTCTAGAATTGGTTTATGGAATTAAACATTGGTTCCAATTGAAATTTCGTTTCTGTAATTTAAAGACAATTATATTAATAAATTATTTATTAGTTTTATCGCTTTCATTTCTTGATGTGTCAGTATATAAGTAAATAAGTGATAGCTCATAAGTATTGATTAGTTTCTATTACGGTTAAATGTTAAGCATTTCAAAATTATATCGTTATATAAGTTTGTGTTAAGTATATAATATAACACATAATAATATTAAAACAGACTACCATAAATTATTTGATTATCTGGTGTTCGCAGTCACTTATAGAAAACCACATAAATTGTGTACGTCTTATCTTGATTAAAAAATACTCCAAGTTAACAAAACCTGCAGGCGGGTCCATTAAATTAAAGGTTTTTTTTTTCGTATAAATATATTCGTACCATTCGTTTGTAAAGTGTAAAGTGCTCCATATAAATTATCGATATAATATTATGGAACACGAGTCCGATAATATACAGAACACTCGCATTAATGCACACACAAATAATGTTATTATCCACTATCAACGTGATTGATGTGCTCTACAGGCACTTGCAGCACATATATAAAATATATCTATACATCTGTAAAATGTTTATGTTTCATATTTTGGTATACGTTTTTATAGGAAGTATACAGAATACACATTGCGCTCATAAGACGTATCAGATCAGATCAGATGGATTAAACGAGGCGATAGAACTGCTCTTATCCGTTAATAATAATAATAATGGTAATAATAATGATAATCATATGTAAATAACAATCGATGAGTTTTCACGGTATTCGGTCATAATTACACGTTAGCCTATCTCCAAAATGGGCATGTGTGTTGAGTAAAGCCGTAATGATAATGGGCTCGCCAAAACCGGCTGGTATAAATTAGCAATAATAACAATAATAATAACACTATGCATATAAAGGGAAACCAGAACACTCCGTATACGTACACGTTTCCATTGGGTGTAGTGAAAAGAAGGGGTTCGGTTTTCATTTAAACGAGTAGATCAAAAAAGATTCGTCCCAATCTGAGTCGGTTGACGGGACAAGCATGTTTAAATTAATTCGTCTCTGTTGGTTCATATTATTATTATTTGCACAATTCAGGGTAAGTGCTATATTACACGATTATAGTATAATATGCTCCCGTTTATCCCCCGTGATGGATTTAATTATTTAGGAGTCCCTTATTGTATAATGAGTTTTGTGTGTTTATCAACTTTAGGACATGCGACTGTTCAAAGACTTTAACGATTATTCTCGCGTCGCTGCTCATCCAACGCAGTATTTGGCCGATGGCTCTCAAATACCGTTATTGTCTGTAAGTTCTGCGAACAAGTATACAATTCGCTGGTACCGCTCAGCGATATACCTATGTGTGTTCACTATGTCTTATACTATAAGCAACGACTCAATTGCCGATTCGATCATTTTTACCATTTTATAAAATATATAATTTACACTTTGAAACTCGACTGGATATATAATAAGCGGTTTTCCCGTCTATCTAGCTTCTGCAAGACAGAACGTCGAATAAAATCAACAATCGGGGACGACACCAAAGAAAAAGCGTTTACTCGGATTGGTCGGATTGGAGCTCGTGTTCGAATAGATGTACCACAGTCAGACGAAGGTTAGTACGGTATACGCGTTCACGGTTAGGTTATAGGTATACACTATTATATGTCATTATTTCTCAATTTCTCATGCTCGCGTAGCATGTGGTCCGTAAATACAAATACTACCCAATTTCATAAAAATACTTTTAAATAAAAATCTATTGTGTAAAATATTGAGAATGCGGAGAAAATATAATAATAATAAAATTCAAAAGCCTGGTGGGAGGAGGGTGATAATGCCTAGTGGTACCCCCTCCATGGAACCGTACCTGTAACAAGCTGTATTTAAATATTATATGAATACGACGCGTGTTCAGACATTGTTTACGATCAAAAATTTGTGGATCGAACGTCGTTACCGAAACATCGTATTGTTTTGTGACCGGTTCAAGATGCCCGGGGCTCGTGACGAATTACTACAAACGGCTCAACTCAAGTTTCTCGAACAAAGGTTATACATTATTGCCATAGAACACTTGTTCATTATTTGAATTAAAATTGTGTATTGTAGTTTTAGGTAACGCGAATGATGTGTCAGTGAATTCCACATGTGGTGTTAATGTTGCTTCTGCTACCATTCCCGGTTTCAAGACTCCTAGGTTTTTAATTAAAATAATGGGAGGTCAAGAATCTGAGAAATTTCATTGGCCTTGGCAAGTCGCGGTGTTAAATGGATTTCAGGTATTATGATGGTAAAATAAATAATATTGTTCACATCGTTCATTATATTGTGCGTTTTCAACTTTAAAGGAGGTAATTTGCGGCGGTACCCTCGTGGCTCCTGGTTGGGTGCTCACAGCTGCACATTGTTCTAGACAAAAACTATTCGTTATATTAAAGGAATACGATTTATCTGTTTATGAAGGCGATGAGATCAGAGTGAGGGTATGTATGTTGTATAATATGTATACATTCAATGACACTATTTATCTGTTTGTAAAGGTTATAGGATCAGATTATGGGTATATGTATGTTGTATCTGCTTGTACACATTATACGATGTATTAAACAATAAACAAACCATTATAATATACGATATACCCATTTTATTATAGCGAATGGTGTTTAGGATTTTCCAATATTTGCTTTGTAAACTTAAGTACCTAATAATAATTATTATTTCCACAACAATTATTATAGGTTGAACGTATTATAATACACCCCAGATACAATCCAAATACAATTGATAATGATATGGCTCTGTTAAAACTACGTGCCTTGGATTTAGAAATAGATGGTGGATTAAACTTGCAACCAGCTTGTCTTCCGCCCTCTGATTTTCAACGGCGGAAACGGAAGCCTAAAATGTGCGTAGTTATTGGATGGGGAAAAGTGCAATCTCAAGATTCTTATGGATCTCGAATACTTCGAGAAGCTAGGGTATGTATAGTTTAGTATTTATTCCTAAGTAGATAAGAAATTATAGGAAAGTTTAATACAAGTTAATACAACATTAATGAATAATGACTATCGTGTCAAACAAGCAAACAATATATTTTCTGTTTCATAGCTACATTGTAAAGATTTGTCCGAGTTATAAAATATTATTTTTATCTATCTATAACGAACAATATTTTAGTATAAAAAATTTGTTATATCTGTTGAACAAAAATGCAGTTCTTACAATGAGTAACTGACTAAATATTTCGTAACTTTCACCAATAGAATTTTTAAAATAAATCGAGAACTCAGATAATTGTTTATCAATCTAGCTGTACATTTTTGAAATTAAATCGTCCCTCATAGTAGGTATGATAATTCTTAGTAATTTGTGTGTATTAAAATGGGCAAAAGTTGCGTCAAATAGGTAAGAAGTGGTAAACTGTCGCTCTGTACGGTCCTTAGTTTAAAATCATAACGAGGACACTTTATGCGGTTGGTTAAAAAGGTAGATTGCAGAACGCTTACAATTTGTACTATTATTTACATAAAGTATATAATATATAATATAAACAAGTCTGAAGTCATGACTAGACTATATGTTATTAAGTTAAATATTATTTGATAAATCTAATTTATCTTATAAATTCCAAATAGTAGGGAATCGTGTGTTATTATACTTATTACTTATTAGTTATTAACCATCGATAATAATTTTTATGGGGACGGAGTGGCCTAGCGGACCAATGCGTCGGTAGTGACGCAGCCGGCCTGGGTTCGATACCGGCCATAGACGGCATTTTTCTTCGGGCAAGTCACGGTGTCCGGAGAACAAGTGCCGCCATCCCCCACCCGGGAATTTCCAATTCTTGGGTATAGAAGTTGAACATTTTATAAATTTTTAACTATAAAATAATTATTTAATTTTAAATTGGATAAATTTTGTCAAAATTTGATCTTTAAATGATTATAAAAGAAAATTGTGCCTATGTATTTTTAATATTTTTCAACTGCTATTGAAACAATATATCAGGAGCCTTGTATTACATTTTTACACTTTTTGGCCCAACAGATAAAACTTTATTGATATTCATAGGAAAAAAAATAAAAAAATTGAAAAATGACAATGTCCGTGAACAGCTCAAAAAGAATCAAAATATTTTGAAAATTTTATCAAGTATAAGAATTCGCATGCATCTATAATCATTTGTATTTGAATTATATTAAAATAAGAAAATCGTTACATGAGAAATAGAGTGATAAGAAATTTTGTAAAAATATGAATTTAAAATGCTCATTAAAATTTAATTTCACTTTCCGGTAGACTTTTTTTTTTTATTATGGTAGACGAACTTATGAAAAATCTTGTATTACATTTTCATATCTAAGATTTAAAAGAAAAATTTTTATGAATTTGGAACTAAAAATAATTTGCAAGATTTCGTGTTTTTCCGTATTTTGTCAATATTTGAACTTTAAAATGCTTATAAAAAAAAACTGTGACCAAGGATTTTTAATGTTTTTCAAACGTCATTGTAACAACATAATGGGAGTTTTGTATTAAATTTTCAAGCTTTTTTACCTAACAAATCAAGTTTTATTGACATAAATAGAAAAAAACCTAAAAAAGTTCGAAACTGAAAATGTCCCTAAACAGTTCAAAACAAATCAAAATATTTTGAAAATTTTATCATGTATAGAAAATGCAAATATAAACAACCAGTTAAAATTTCATGTATTTATTTATTTATTTCATTTGTTTTAAATTTACACCTAAAATCAAAGTCGATTTTGTGGAAAACAGATTTTGCGTAAAAATTCCCGTTATTCCTTAATTTTTCTTTTGTTTTTCAAGGCGCTTTTGAAAACTACTGGGAAATTTTTACTTTTGACCCCCCCCCCCCCCAAAGTACTAACTAGATTCACTTTCCTATCAGAAAAGATACTGTTGAAGAAAATCCAAGCACTTTTATACAGACTGTCCTAAAAGGTGATGACAGACACAAAAAAAAATTTAAAAAAAAACACACATCATTGTAAAATCAATACAATCATCGTTTCACTCAGAATCTAAAAAATAATTTTTATTTGTAATTTTGGCATATTTATTTATATTCTTCACATTTTTAATTTAATTTTTAACATAGTTTTTGATAATATAATACAATCATAATTTATAATCATATTTGACTACAATATGATATTTTGATAATTTAAAGATTTTGAAGTTCCGGGCCCTAAATTAATTTATAAATATTATATTATAGCACCAAGTAATATTTGTCTGTTATCTGACCAGTTAATTAAAAAACATTGATTATTTTGACTTTTTAATATGTATACAGTATACTTATTTAAAAACATTTTTAATTGATTTTTTATTTAGTTTTTAATTTTACATTTTAATCATTGATATTATATATACTTACTACTTATAAGGTATATAACTTAAATTTACAATATAATAATTAAGCTTTATGTACAAAGTGTTCTGCAATGTACCTTTTTACCCGATTGTACAAAGTGGCCTAGAACCGTAAAAAATAATAGTGTTTGGATGACATTTCACATTAAACAGCAAAGTTTTTACTTTAGGTGTAAATTGTACATATTTCTAAATTCATACAATTTACTGATCATTAAAATATAATAAAAGATTATATATTTTGTTAGTTTTGTTCATGAATCATCTTTAATAAAATTGAGATCGGGTCTTAAACTATTTTGTTTTTTTTTGACATACCTACCTATACACAGCCGGCTATACTTTTAATCCTTATATTCAGATCCAAGTAATTAAATTAAAAAATATATTTTAAAAAACAAATAACACGATTAACGTCGAAATACTTAGGTATAGTGTATAATCTATAATTATTAATTACGCATAGGTGCTTATAATTCTAATATCCAAACATCATCTCCATGATGATGAATCTACTCGTTATAATGTATTTACACTGTTTACATTTATATAGCAATAAAAACTATTTCTAACTTTGTAAGTAAGCAAAACATATTTGTTTTACAATTCATACACCGTGACGTGAAGTATATATTTTCTTTATAAAAAAACCTACTCACGTACCTATATGAAATATTCAGGATTCAATATTGATAAAGGTTAACTAATTTCATTATTCGTTTTGATAGATCACATACATTTAGTATAGAAAACATTATAGAACTTAAAGTTTTGATTGTTGATTAGTGACCACAGACATTGTGCCGGACATTGCAAACAGTTTCACATTCCTGGAATCACAAGTCACTACTATAGCCTATGCCCTATACTCCTATAGTCTATACTCTATTGGCATTTGGCAGCTATCGTTTGGGTAGGTATTTCCGAGATAAATATACTTAGGATAACAGTATAACACTGGAATATTGTTAAATGAGACAGTAAATTAAGTTTTTTCTACTGTAAATCAAACCTAACTAAGGCACTCACACAATCAATTACAGAATTCAGTACCTAATAGGTACTACTAAATATCAATTAATTTAGTATTGTTTTATAATGCAACACAATTTTAATAAAAGTACCAAGTTGAAGTCTAACTTGCTTGGATTGATATTAGGTACATTTCATATTTCTAGCTTACATTGTTTATGGATAACAACTCTCGGCAACCGACGTTAAATAATTATTAGGTATTAACAGCTTACGTACCTATAATAATATACCTACATTAATATAATGACGTATTACATGCCTGTCTAATCTGTGGTCGGATAATATTCGATATTTAGATTAATAATACTCATTGACAAATAATAACTGCAGATTTTGCCCTTTTCTCGTGACACATGATGTGATAATATATGAAATGTGTGTTTTGTATTGGACACCTGCAGGTTCCGATCGTTGGTCAGCGGACGTGCCGATCTGCGTACTGGCGTTATCAGATCACTGACAATATGTTCTGCGCTGGGTACAGAGACGGTCGGTCGGACACTTGTTCGGGCGACTCGGGCGGGCCTCTATTGTGCAAAATGCGTGGCCGATGGACGGTGGTGGGTGTTACAAGTTTTGGGTATGGCTGTGGCCGGCGCAGCAAGTACGGGATCTACGCCAATGTGGCCAACCACGTGCTGTGGATCACGTCCGTGATAAAGAAGTCTGCAGGCTATCAGTGAACCGAAACGTTCACTTCCGAAGGGAGTGCTTGAATATGCACTCATTTATAATAGTTACCCGATTTTGTTCGTCTATATTATATTCTCTTGTCTGTAATATTATATGGATAATGTTTTTTTTTTCAAAAAAATAAAATTTATATAATGTACCTACCTCTGGAATAATATAACAAACAATATTTAAATATTATATCATTTATTTATACATTCGACATTATACGCACAACGATTAATTGAACGAGATGTCGTTAAAATTACTACGTTTACCGCTAAAATATAATTTTGATTATAAAACAATCTTTATTATTTTTATGACTAGGCGGGTACACTGACTATCTGAGTGTAGGTACCAAATTTAAATTTGTTTTATAATTTATGTAATTTAATTCAATACCGTTCTTTAACCATTTGTGAATTGTAAAGACATGGAAATGTCATGCGGTATGTATATGATACAGTAAAAGACGTTAAATTTATATTATAAGGGGGCTGCAGCAGGTTTTGACAAAAGTCGAAACTAATGTAGATTTGACCAATCTAAACATTTATCTTATTTGTTTCTTTTTTCAATATATTTAAATTCGTATCATAAAATAAACCTGAAGGGGGCTGGAGCCAGGGGCTCCAGTCAATGAAAAAAAAGTTATGATTGATCAACAAGTTTAGTTGATCAATCATAATCCGTTTTCAAAATTAAAAACTGTCAAACCAAATTCTTCCAGTTTTGTCTAGCTTATTGGTCTAAAAGTCACTTTTTTTTTCATCTGCTGCAGCCCCCCTTAACGTTAGTAACTAGCAATTAACGTTAATAGGTAATAATGAATATATTACAAGGTTTATGACGTTATTTAATAACGATTTATGTTAATTCCAAACAATATTGGTTAATCATGTTAATTGTACTTACATTTTTGTATTATTATTTATTATTATTTATTTTTACATGATAATGAGCTATGGTATTTGGAATGCCATAATTTCCCAATTAATCGACAGGTACATTTATTTGTTTTACACTTTATCTTACAGTTACATCTTTGATACCCTTGTGCGCCTATCAGACTCAAGCAGAGTTTTTAGATCAAGCAAAATTTCTCGTATACTTGTGTTTAAGAAAACCATTTTTGGTACCTAATTCAAGTATAAATACATAAATACCTATAAATTTAAATTTTGTATTTTATAATAAAGTCCTCTACTATAGTAAGTCCCACTAACCCTATTTATAAACATAACTAGTTGTTGTTAGAAACAGGACTAAGATATTGTAGGTATTAGAAGATATCTTAGTTCGAAGTTCTATCTACTGCGGCTGTAAGATAACATTATATAACAACATTTTCCACCTTGTGTAGAAATTATCTATAATCAAACCAAAAAAATAATAAACCACGACAATTACTAGTTTGTTAGGTAACTTTTGTTATTATATGATTATTTTGATGTTTAACATAATTTACTGTAACATGTATAACATACATTGTTTTGAGACAGTTGAGATTCTATTTACATTTTATTTTACTGTTTTGTTTCAGTTTTTGGAAGGATTAGAATATAGGCAAATACACTTACATAAATACTACAGTAATACGGGGTGATCAATTTATCACAAGACATTCATTATTTCAAAAAACCTATTTTTGAAAATAATTCTTTAACATAGTTTTAAGTTGTTACAATACTTAAAAAAAAAATTATTCAAAAAAGTTTATTGTTATATTTTTTTTAAGTTAATTACTCTTTTGAATCACACAAACTTATAATTTTAATTGCATATTCCGAAGCAGAATATTATTTGGAGTATTTTGATCTCTACAAATAAAATTTCAGACAAGTAGTTTATCAGTCACAACGTATAAGTATTTAAAGTATGGATGAGCTGAGTAGAAGACCAAAATATTGCAGGGTGCCGGGGGTACTACTGTACTCGGCTCATGTAAACTTTAGATATTTATAAGTCATAAGGTATTCATCCAAATTTCGTTTATATACATCGAAGGACTCGAAAAAATATAGGGAATTAAAAATTCATGATAACTATAAACAAAATAGTAAATATATATATTTTCTAAGAACATTTTTTGTATTTAATGTATTCCAATTATGTAAAAAAAAACTTAATAGTTTTTGAAATAATGAGTGTGTTACGTTAAATGGATCATCCGGTATACAGTGGAATAATATAATGTCAATTATTTCACTAAACTTTTGTCAAAAAATTATAAAATTTTGAATTCATAGGTATTTTCCCCTTGAAAATATGTATTTTATTTTAAGTTTGATATACAATTACCCAGAGGTAACAATGATTTTTCTCTATATGAATCGGACATTATGAAATCACCTTGGTTAAATAATCTAATATTATTATAATTATTATCTGTGGATCATCATGACTCATGATTGCAGTATATGGTATTAGCATTGATTATAGAATAGACTATTCTAGTCTAGTCTATTCTATAATCAATGGTATTAGTTTAGTAAAAGTGTTCTCCATAATCTATAAATTCAGATGTATAATTTCAATTGTTGTTCTAAAACAATTATGTAGTGCCCTTTATCGATACAACGAATAATATTTTTTAATAAGACATAAATTAATATAAAAGAGTTGATAAAAAAATATTTAAACAATTAAAAATAACATCGAACTTAAATTACTGTGTGATAAAAAGTAATGTTATGAAACTATAATTTTGTTTTTATTTCACATTTATTAAGTTTTAAAAACTACTTTAATGTGTTTTATTTTTATAAAGTACTTTTTGCAATTTAGAAAACCTATACTAATGTCAGGAAGACCTGTTTTTTACAAAATAAATTATTTTGTTGTGATATTTGCTTTCACTAAATATTTCTACTGTTAGTATTTTCTAGACATATAAACTAACACGATTTAAAAAAACATTTTGGTCCTTTTTAAGCTATTTATAAACATTTTAAATTTTAGCCTTTGTTTAGTTTTAGATTCTGAGTGGAACGATGAATGTATTGATTTTACAATGATGTGTGTTTTTTTTAAAATTTTTTTTTGTGGCTGTCATCACGTTTTAGGACAGTAAAAGTGCTTGGATTTTCTTCAACAGTAGCTTTTCTGATAGGAAAGTGAATCTAGTTGGTACTTTGGGGGGTCAAAAGAGAAAATTTCCCAGTAGTTTTCAAAAGCGGTGTGAAAAACAAAATAAAAATTAAGGAATAACGGGAATTTTTACAATAAAATCTGTTTTATCGATTTTGGTTTTTGGTGCAACTCTTAAACAAATGACCGTCGGTACATGAAATTTTGACTGGATATTTTTTTAATTTTTATATTTTGTTTTTACATCAATTTAAAAATATCAAAAATATATTATTATAGTTAATATTGTTATTTAGGTACCCACAGCCGTTTAAAATTCAAATTCAGAAGAAATTGGATATTCAAACTAACGTTTTACTTTCTCATATTTTAGAGGCATGATCATAAAAAATTGCGGAAATTGCCCGGTTTAGCAAAATTAGCTTGTAAAATTATGAAAAAAACATAAAAACAAGAAAAAAGTTATAAAAACTTTAGTTTCTGTCTAGTTTTAATATAATATGATATGAATTTGTAGCTTATTCTGCAGTAATTAAAAAGTATAGAAAAAATATTCAAAATTGGAAATTTAATACTATAAGTCCAGATCTCTGCTTCTATAATGTCATCAAACAATTGAATTCAGAACTTACCATCATTATTAATATTGCCTTGCATAGTAATTCTATAGGCGTGAAGTTTATTTGCATGTAATTGTTTGTTTTTGTTTTTAATAGGTACAAATAAAAATTACAAACTACTTCCATTAAAATATTGTATAGAACGTTTTATTTATTTTCACGTCCTTCAAAAAAAAAAAAAAAACATACATACATTTTACAATAATAATAACCGTAATGTGCTCCAACAATAGGCAGGCATCACACATTTTTGGTGAACATTTTGTTTATATGAAATTCATCACGCGAAGGGTTGACATTAAAAACATTATCATAACAATGTAACTATTCTAAAAATATATATTATACGCATAATATATTATATATATATTATACATTTTATAATATACATATATTATATAATATATAATAATTTGTTACACAATGTAAAAGTTTACAAACACCGAAAACAACACCAACATTATTACATTATCTATTTCGAGTAATTTTTTTCATTCTGTCTTGGCGTTGTTATTTATTAATTATTTTTATACAGTATAATATTTTATGTCCCTGAATTCTGATACAATCACAGTAAAAAACAAGTGTGCGACAACAATGCGCTTGATTAAAATTTTAAAAACTTAACACCATATTCCATTTAAACATGAAAAAAAAAATCATATAATGTCCTCCAAGTCAAATGTCTAATTATTTGTTAAAAAAACAAAAATAATCATAACATAATCGATTTTGTATAAAATAAAATAGATCAAAAAACAAACAGTGGAAACTATTAAATTGGATTGCTGAATATTTGGATACATTTTTAAGAAATTCATAGTTTTAAACTTTTTATGGAAGTAATAATCATTTTTTATTATTTATATACTTAATACTTTTAATGGAAATCATAAGTTTAATCAGGTACGTAGCACAATTTTTATTTTCACAAACGTTATTTGATTTTAATACAAATTAAGATTATTTAAATGTGTTATGTTCTACGTAGTGACGACTTATAGAATAACGTTATTTTGTTATAAAATGAATAATAATAATCCTGAGTTGAGTATGCCATCTATTTTTTTTTTTAGGTTTATCGACTTATAGTGTATCAAATGTTCCAGGTGTGTGAGGTATGATAAAATATGTGGTGGGAGTCGCCAACGTACAGAAACTGCTGATAATCTTTTTTGGAAATGGTTGATTTTTTGACAGTAAGATCTGTTATTTAAGTGAGAAGGTTACCATAGTGGCATAACAAGGGGTATCTATTGAGAAAGTTTATCGTTCAACCATATCTACAGGACATTTTTTTTCGAAAGAAGGATTTTAACACGTCAAAAAAGCATTAAGTGCTATTATTTTTAATTGAGTTTTCGGCCAGTGAAATTTTTTTTCAAATAATCAGTTGTGAACACTCAATTGTGGAAATTAATTCGGCGCACAAGTCTAAAGGCTTATGAGATTAATAAAACGTCGTAATTTAACCGATGAGATTTTTAGAAGTATTGTAAAAATATGCATATTATTATTATATTGTCGTAACTGAGAGTCTGGCGGGTAATACTTCGACTGACTTAAATCTTAATGTTATAATGCTGATCAATGATTTCAATACATTAATAATTAATTCATCTGATCTATGTTTCGAGTATAATAAGTTGGAAGTTAAAATGAAACTGCCTGAAAAGCACACACTGAATTATTGGGTATACGTATTATAGTTACCATAGACAAATTATTTACACATATATTATATGAACGTTAACACTTCACACTCTAATTATTAGTTTATACTGTTTATATTATTATAATTGTTATATATTATATAATATGATCATAATATTGTTTTACAAAAACCAAACAACATAGATACCATGCAATTTAATATATAGACATAAATTATAAACTCGAAAATAAACAGTTGAAAACTTGATTGTTTCTTAAATTATTATTATTATTATTATTAATTTTAATTTATTATAATATAATTACTTAGTAATTTAAATATGCATTTATTTATTATTATTTTATTATTATAAATAGCCATTATTATGTGAAAGATAAAAATCTCTCAGCGATATGATATAACAAAACATCATGTTTGTATAATAAATCTTAAACTAATCACAAAACATACATATCTTTGTAGTAAAAACTAAAAATTTTAATATTATTATTAGTGGTCTTCTTTTCAAAATGATTTTTTATTTTATAGATAAGGCTCGACGTGGTCCCAATCAGACCTATGTCTGCTGAGCCTCTCGAATACAGTCTTTTCGATTTTGTACTCCCCGGTACCAGCTTGCTTACACAGGGTGCTCAGAATGTCTTGATTATCGACGGTTCGCGTAGGTAACACGATCTAAAATAATGTTTATGGTGAAATTTCGGTTACTATTTTCTACACAATAAAATAATATTTTATTTACGTTTATGAGATCGTTTGGTGCAATTTTAACCAAATTAATATCTTTTTTCAGCCTTGTCATGATATGATGGAATTCTTCTTTAGCGTTGGTTTTTGATTGGCTTTTATTGGTTGCCCACTTAATCATTGCCTGGAACTTTCGGATTTCGGACACTTCGAGTGGCCTACACATTATTTGCTGTACCAGTGACTCGGAAAGTGTGAGGAAATCACAGTGATTCAAAACCTAGACATATCCATCGAGATAAATATAAACCATAATATACATGTAATTAATAGGTATGTAAAAACAAAATACCCTCAATGCGTTTTGTTCGATATAAGTAAATATCAAATTAACTAATTCCACTGCTGAATTATATCTCCATACGTAATTTTCCAAACTGTTTAACATCAGGCATATCTGAAACCAATTTATAGTTATGACGAGTAAAGAAAATGATCAATGGGAAAATCTATACTTACCACATCTACTCTTAAATGCTGTTTTGTATGGTGGAAGCATGCCTGCAAGAGCTCTGGCAAGTCATAGTGTTCAGCTGCACATATTAGCCCTGGGACATTCGCACAAGTGATTTTACAAGAGCTCGTATGTAAGTAATCCAGAAGTATTCGAAACGTGTCGGGATCAAATTCGATGATTGAAAACTTATGGAAAAATTGAGACATTTATTTCCTAAGTGAATAATTACTTGGTGCGTGAACATTTATTATTATTGTGTTACCTCGATTTGATTGAGTTTCGCTCGATCAATCTTGTCCCCTCCGTTATTTGGACATACACTTACTTTAGGCACAGACAACTGAGCTAACCTTTCTTTCTCCTTTTCTTTGTCCTTTTCTTTTTCTTTATCTGTAAGTATAATATTTGTTAAAATTATTTGAGTACTATGGATTTTTAACCGTTAGAATCCACTTACGGCTGAAATCTTGAGAAGAAGCCCACTTCTTTTTATCATCAGCGGACAGATTTTGTTGTTTTCTTATCGACTTACTCCATCCAGCAGTAATCGTTCCTAATCTGGTAAAAGCTCTCCGCATCATCGGAGAGCTGGGCACACTTTTGGCCCTTTAAATTTTTTTTATTTTTTTCATCATTAATATTTTATTTCGAAAATGTAATTAAATTTCTTGAAAATACTAACCTTGGTGTTTCTATATCTGGAACTTGTAGAAAGTTACTACTTTTTGCTTTTTGGTGTTGTTGAGAGGGTAAACTAGGAAGACCTCGGGCTAATAATTCAGCAACCGGCATTTGAGGAGATCCAAAACCGGTGGAAATGCCGTATAACATTTCTTGGAATACTCTGTTAGATATACAATAATATTAAGACACAATTATTATATTTATTAAAAGTTATCTTTTTAGCATGATACATACCGACTTCTTACACCCAAAATGGCTCGTACACCGATAAATTTCGTTTTTTGCTTACTTTGGCCTACTAAAAATACTACATCAAACAAATGACCGTTTATGGAGACATTTGATTCGGAGTTTATAAAGAATTTCGTAAAATCCTTAGCAAGAGTATCGTAGTCTTCAAATCTATCTCTAACTGAATCAAGTAATGGACTGGATGGCCTCATATGCCCTATCGGTCTCCATGAACCTCTCCTGTAAAATTGTATAGTAGTGTCATATGCGATACAATAATACATAAAAACTTTTACTTACCTGTATGGTTTAGGTATTTGACCAGTCTCACAATGGTTTTGTAAGTTTGCAACTATATCTTCAAGCATTTGGCTACGAGTACGTTCTTGCATTCTAGCAAATTTTGGTGCTGAATAACTAGCTCGTTCTCCATTTACGATCTTCGTTAAGATCCATTCTCGAAACATATCTTTTTCTTCAAAAACTGATTGTTCCCAAAGATATGGTTTATAAGCCCCAACTTCATCTCTAGTCACAACAGATACCTTCGAAAAATATTATTCAATGGTTTAATTTAATTCAATAAGATTTACAATAATTAAGCATATGTTTACTTCGTATTTAGTCCTTTCTGTTTTTCTTCGAATTCTTGGACTTACTCTGACCAATATAAAAGTATGAAGAAAATGTGATTTTATACATGCTGGTGAAAATCGAGTATCATCAGCTTCAAGGAATACAACGCACACAATATCATTACCAATATGTCTTTTTCTTTGAAGCTGTAAATCATATGATACAATATTTTATTATTTTACAATTAATTCAAAGTTAATTTGAACTTTACTTTTTGTGCATCGTGTGCTTCATAAGGTAACATAGTTGAAACGTGGAACATTATTTCAATGTTTCTCCAATTTGTATATACAGAATGTGTTCCCGTCAAATCGTGTACCGTATCTAATCCTCCTCGATACTTATCAAACCCTATGAAATGTGTAATGAATAAAGAATATGATAATAAATTATGTTTTGATGTGTTATCATACCACAAAGTCTTTTGGTCTCTCCTAAAAGTCCAAGAAATTCTTCAAATGCTAAGCTATTTTCATTGTTATCCAATATCTCTTCCTCAGTGGTTTGGCCTTCTTTGACATATATTACTCCAACTTTGAGTTCAGATTTCATGAACACTTGGTCTAGTTTGAGCAGTTCATCGGCTGTGTCAGGTAGTTGGCCAAGCACTAAAGGTGGATTTAAATTGATCTCCTTACCAAGAGATCTGACCACTTCCTCACGGTTATAGCGATCGGCAAACACACACGACGCTGGTATTAAGCCATGAACTGTGTAGCTGATTGCTCTGACCAATATCCTAGGTAAGGAAAAACAATATTATATTTATATACATATTTTATTTTTATTCCAATTTATTAGCTCAAATTAAATCTACCTAAATTGGTCTCGTCCATTTATGGTTTCTTGTTTTAGACTTAGGATAATTGGGCCCAAATCTTCATCATTTGTGAAGTAATTCCAATGTTCCTTTTGATAAAAGTACCTCTCAAACGTTTCTTGTTCTACAGAAGTCAATTCAAAACATCGATTTTTCTCCCACTGTTCCTCAATTGAAGTTTTTGGCCTGTAAGACAGTAAATTAATAATTAATAAATATATCATTATATTATTCCAATTTAATAACAGCACCTGGATGGTGGCATGACATAATCATCATCATACGGATAATATTCATCATCCTCCAGTAGTAAACTATCCGAACCCCTGGGCCGTCCATATCTATTACCAAAATATTCTTGGGCGCCATCTGCACCGTCTGAATTTGAGCCATTATTTAACTCTCGCTCATCCGATCCAGATTCTTCAACATATCCTGCTTCACTAGTGATTTTTTGACGAGAACATTCTATCCAATATCCGGGAGCTGGCTGAAAGTTATGAGGCCACTCCTCACAAATATCATCTATAAAAAATAAAAATAATATAAATAAAATATTATTATGTATCGGAACACTTTAATTTTAAATTGAATTTTATTATGTTTTTGTTCTTGGGCTTAATTTTTTTGACTTAATTTTCCTTCCGAGTAAACATCTTCCAGCGATTTAATCAATTACTCGGGGTTAAAGAGTCTACTCTACAAATATCCCTTGTAGTGACAGAATATTTCTGCTCGGAAGGTTAGGACATAAGGGTTTATATTATTTTGGCTTTATATTTTCCACTTCGTTGGTTGTGAAGAAGATCTTGTACGGTGGTTGGGAGTAAGTATTTTATTTTCAAATATTTTTAGTGCTGTTGTTGTTATTTCTAGATTAATAGTTAATTAGTATTATAATATAGGTAATGGTTAAATTATTAACTAACAAGTCTAAGATATACCTAATATGTTTGTCAATAATTGTTGATACAAATAATTCATTTTAATAAAATCAATTTTTTTTTAAATTTTTCACATTGCGAGCTTAAAAAAAAACAACATGATTTATTTTTCCATACATGTTTTTTACATTTATAATGCATATGAAAAAAAAATTCTATGAATATTTTTGAGGTAATAATGATATAAGTTATGTCGTATAACGATTTGAAAAGATACAAATGCATATAAAACTTATTAAAAGTGATTTAAAAATTGTTCGAAAGTATTTATCATATGTTAAAATTCATATTAAACCCTAACATAGGATCCATCTACAAATTTAGTTAGTAGGTAGGTACTAGGTACTAATATAATATGCTCTCTACAATCATATTTTGGTGTGTTTTAATATAATAATTTATTCTTTTGGATTTTTCAGCTGCTATATCTAGTACCCCAGATGTGTGGTAGTTGTTCCTTCTTAAATTTAAACCTTTCTCTATAAATGCCACCTATACAGACCTCCAATATTTGTAAGGTTAGAATTTATAAATAAGAATTAGTCAAATACATTATATTTTATGAAAAATGTTTTTTCTGTTTCCCAAAGTTGTAGAAACACATCATGTTCACAGAATGTTAAAATCGGCTTTAAAACTTTGAAACTAAAGTGTTGACAATTTTGTAAAATATTAAAATAAGGGTAATATTTGATATGATTTGTATTAACTCAAAACGGTTATTACTTGTTATTCGGAAATACAATTTGGTATTAAAGTGTTGATTAAACGCAGTAATAATAATATTCAGTGATCTAAAATCTAATTATTACATTTATATTATACATATTATACTTGTATATAATATAATATTTTACCGTTACAAGATTAAAATTAAGATATAGACTTAAGCATATTGTTTTTATACACACATATTATTAAAATATATGCTTTTGTATCCTAGCTTGGTCATATTATTTTTTTTCATATATTTTTGAAATGATTTCCGTCTATTTTTTGGTTAAGAGAACCTTTTTTTTAACTTAAAAATTAAAAAAGTGTATACAACATTTAATTGCCAAAATTAAATCTTGACTAATGATGGTATTATTTGTTATGAAAAATAATAACTGTATAATTCTGTAACGTGAAACCAACTTTTAACTTTTAACTTTTTAGTGAATTTATTTTATACATTTTTTTATTCATAAAATTACTAGGGTAGTAAGTAATGCCGATTTAATGGTGTGGGAAATGATGTTAGTAATAATCAAAACAATATTATCTTATAGTAGTGACTAGTGCTCAATAATAATTGTTCGATTTCCATCAACCTCCAATAACTTATTAGCAATCGTTATTGGCATAACTCATGTTTGCACGGAAAACGGGTAATCTGTGATAAGGTAAATTAATTAAACATTTTCCTATCAGATTTTTAAACACACCAAGTCGTCTTCGGCTGTTGTTGTCAGATACAAATATTCGCCATGCACAGTACGTGCTCATGTTCACGTTTACCATCCAGGGCACAATATGTATGTATGTACATATATGTGTATGTATTTATATATGTATTTATATATGTATTTATGTATGTATGAATGTATGTATGTATGTTTATGTGTATGTATTTATATATGTATGCATGTATGTATGTAAGTTTGAATGTTTATGGAGAATAGTAAAAAAAAAAATTAATTTCCGGCTCGGACAAGCGGCTTCCGTTACGTGCATGTGTCTCGAACTTTAGCACAAATGGATATTATTCTGTTTATTTTGTGAAAGACTGTGAAGATTGTGAAAGTAGGTAGTTTTAATATATTTTCCTGATAAACACACCGGCTATCATAATAAAATGATCTATACGCGCATTAAAACCACTAGGTAGAAAAATTGTTATTTCATTATTTATGTATATACACAGTACAGGAGGAAATTATACTTGTGAGGTGTAGATATTTTTCTCATATGTGATGATACATTTTATCATTAAACATAATGTTTATCATAAAAAACTAAAAAGGCGTTTTAATTATTGTTTTTATTATCATCATTCCAATGACTTATGTTTTCGAAATCAATAAAATGTATAAAACATAATATGTCAGCGTTTTTGATTTATACTTAATTATATTACAATTTACATTAGACATAACTCTATTCAATTAAATCAAAATAACTACAAAATTGTTATGGTGTCAACAATTATTAAAAAATGTATTAAGAGAAGCCTAAAATAAATATCAAATAATATGTACCTACAATATTTTATATTTGTATAAATCGTAAATGATTTAAGTAGGTATACCTACCTAGTATGCTAGCCTCTAGGTAACTAAATCTAGTAATTACCTCTAGGTAGTTAAAAAAATGTATAACATTTTAATTTAGATAATAATAATCAATTAATCTTTAAAAGAATATTAATAAGTAGACTTATATTTTGAATTATATTCACAGATTTGAGAAGATTTTTTTTAATAATATTGATGAGTAATAATTAATAACTATTAACTAATAAGTATTAAAAATTTGTATACATATTTCACTTAGTTATAGTTATAGTTAATAGTTATGACTTATGATTTATGAATTGTTAAGATTTGAATAGTTATGAGAAAGAATTGGTCGATATTGTTCTATACATAAATAGTTAAAATAACTGTGAAATTAGTTGACCTTCAAACTGAGTGTGTTAGCTACGTAACATGTTGATAATTCTACGATTTTTAGTGGTATAGGTACAAAAAGAAAATCATTACCACTGTCATTTATTATATTTTTGTATTTATATATACTTTTTGTTATTTCAATTAACAATAATTCTCACGTCTTTACGATGGTTCATTTTTGAGTTCATTTTTTCATATTTTTCTTTTGTCATTAAAAAAGAAGACATTTTTCTTGAACAATTTTAGCAATTCGTCAGTGTCGCAAATAAAAATAAAAATAAAAATGGTTATTTGTTGAAGAATTCAAATAATTGGAGTCTTTACAAAAAATATTCGATTAAGTAGTATTTTTGATCTAGCATTAATTGTTTTTCAAATATCCAGAGTGTTCTGTGCAATAAAATATATTTTATTTATATTTCTATATGCAGGATTAATTAACTATCACAGTATGATATTTAAATTTTATGAAAAATAAATGCTTATAATACCTCAATTATTATTACACTGATGTAGGTACAATGTCCTGGTTGCCTTAAAATAATTGAAAATGTTTTGAAATATTAAAAATAGTAAATTTCACGAGATTTTATTTTACAATAATTTATTTAATGCAATAAAAATAATAGGTTCATAATAAAAAAAAAAAAAAAAAATGAGTACGATGTAATCCGTAACATGAAACGACAAAACTCGTTGGGACTATATTTTAAGATGGAGAGTTATTATTTGATATTATCAAACGTAAAATATATATATCACCGAACATCGACTATAATAGGGTTGCATTTAATGGTATATCGTTTAAATCGTATACGTGGCAAATCTGCACGTATGCATTTATCGTATGAATTGAAAAATATAAATTTTATTATTCCTCCCTTTGAAAATCGTAAAAATTGTTCGCTCTTTATTTATTCGCCCGTTTTATTAGGTGTGGGTACATTCTGATGCAGCCCTTATAGTCGAAGACAACCACTGAGGCGCTGTAGCTATATAATGAAATTGAAAAAAAATCTTTCTATATATATTATATTACACCAAAACCAAAGTATATGACGACAATTCGTTTGGCTCAACATAATCAGACCGATCCATATTATATAAGAAATCGTTAGGACTCGGACTATCTGCCAATCACGACGGTTGGAATCCGGTCCACGCCATTTAGCCGGAAACTTTTTGCTTATCTGCAAATAACAGTAAATTGGAACCTGGGTCGCATCTCTTATTACACCTTAATACACAGTAAAAAGCCGGCAAGGACTGTGAAACTTTGGCGTGGGTATCTAGTTTATATAATATACCGTGTGGGCAGTGTAATGCAAGAACAAGTCTACTCAGTTATCTAAATTATGAAAGTAAAAAAATAAAATAACAATAAGAAAATCCGGAACACGTGAGCCAACTAAATCCAATCATCAGATAGGTATAGTCAAAAATTTAACGGAATTAGATATATTATTGGCTCCTGTCTTCCTGGTGTTTACAATATTATTAAGCTTATTTAATAAATCAATACATTTTGTGTCAGAATGTTTGCTCAAGAAAACAATATGAACCAATTCTGTGTGGCATCGACGCGTTAAATTAATTATCGGTGTATAATAATATAATGATATATTACACTATATAAAACATAATCTATGACCTTTAATAATATGTCCAACACAGCTAATAGATAGTTGTGAACAGTATGTAGGTGGCCAGGTAGCCGGTAGGTAGGTAGGTAGGTATTATGAATGAATGTAAAATATAAAATAAATATCAAAGTATCAAAATAATAATCAAAATCTAAAATTAAACTAACTAACTGTTAACCTTTTGCAGATACCCACCTAATTGCAACAGTTAATGGTTGAAAATAAGTGTAAAAATACATTTTTACAGCAAACAATATAATAAAGGAACTATTTTATTGAGTTTCGTGATAAAAAATAATAATGTTTTTATACTAAGAATAGTTGATTCTATTGACTGTATCCTACTACAACTAATAACGAATGTAAAATACAATTTTGAAAAATAAATATGAATAATCAATAGTTAATTCATAAAATGTCATTATGAACATTTCTATAATATATAAAATGTAGCATTTAAGTATTTTTATATTTTGTATTTTGAATTTTAATCTTGTTTAAATATGTTTCAATCATGAAAATGTTCTTTATTTGTCAAATACTTATTAACATTTATGTACATTAAAAAAATATGTTTATTGATTTCGCAGCAATGGTGTTTTTTAAAATTTATTTATTTGATGTACCTACACTTTACTAGGTTGAAAAAAGCTCCAAACTGATTTATTTTGTAAAAAATTTTTAAATTAAAATTAACACATGAAAAAAATTTAACAAATAATATCGTATGTGAATATTGTTATTTTACCTATCAGATGTTCGATGGTATTAGATGGTATAATTTTCAGAAATTTATATGGATATAGGTATGACATATTAATAACTATAATATTATATTACTTAAATTTAAAATGTATTAAGAAATATAATATAACTGTAGTTATCGAATGATTATTATAAATTGTTAACATATTATATTTTCCATAATAATAACCGAATTGGTTTATGAAGCTTACGTGTTCAGAATGCAGAAGAAGTCATAAATCGCAAAACGATCTTATAAATCACGACAAAATGATGAAAACTAATTTTTAATTTGATTTACCATGACTAGAGGGATGCACATTAATTACACGATAAAAAAAAAACCTTTTGTGAGACGACCTTAAATATATCATCTTGTAATAATTATGTTTTAAGAAATTCCGTGTGTGTATAAACTCACTCACCGTAAAGCATAATACGTATTATACTTCAATAATTTTTGGAATTTTAACTATTCATAACTTTGTGGTTATAAATTATTATGATAATAGGCTAGGTAGTATAATATATAATAATACGCCCCACAAATCCACGGTGAAAATGATCAATACAACAACACACATTTTGTATAATATATTAATATGTGAGCAGACTAAAAGTGCGGATACCTTTGTAAGCGAGTAGTTTTGGATTATCAGAAAGTAATATAGGCATGACAGCTGGAAAATATGTTTCAATAAACTTTTGCATAAATAAGTTTAAAATTTGTTAAGAATATGGGTGGTGGTGAAATGATCTGAACAATGTACTGTAATAACTATAGTGATACCTATATGCAGAGAATATTATCGCCACGGGTAACGTTAGGCGTACTTAACGATGAAATCAACCATGACTGTGGTAGAAAATAAAAGAAGTATAAGGATCCTAAAAGGCTAAAATAACGAAATCGGAAATATTAGCATAGTATGTAACAAACGAAACGCAACGAACTAACTTTAAAAAAAAAAAAATTTTCTAGGTGCCAACATGGAAGAGCTCGAATTACCCGCGACCTATATTTCTCGGTATGAACTAAAGAGTAAAGATTACCTAAATCGATGTAATAATATTATTTTCTAACGTTTGATATTTTTAGTTAACGTTTAAAAATATTATTCACTTAGAAGCATGTTGACTCAAGGAATAATACTTAACTCAAGGTAAGGTATGATACGGTTGAGAAACATTTGTACACCTACATTTGATTTGAGAGTCCTTATATTAATTATTACGGTTACCTAATTTAAAACTGCTGGTTATCTGCAATAAGCATAATATGCAAATAACTTTATCTTGTCGATTATCGTTATTCATTGGGTAATATTTTTGCGGGTAATGTGTTGTCATGATTTTGCTCCCTAAATCGATTTATTTAATAACTGTGTGATAATATGTTTTAAGTACACAGAAACATAACACAGAATTATTATCAGATGATGAGTGT